AGTATTAACAGGTTTAAAGACAGAGGGCCAAATTTCTCTCAAATGCATTCTGCACCTACAGACTTGTAAGTGCTTTATCCAACCGCCACACTGGCCTGAAAGTGCAGTTTGTCTGTCATATGAGGCCGGAGTGTTAACACTGTAATCACGCATTTAACTTTGGGAAATAGGCTTATTTGCTTCCTTGCCAAAAGTTAGGTGAGAAGATTGATACCAGACTTATGACTGTACAGCAAGCTACAGCCAGCAGGCGGTTAGTTTAACATGAAGACTGGAAACAGGAGGAAACAGCTAGCCTGGCTCTGTCTGAATGTCACAATTCCCATCTACCAGCACCTCTAAAGCACACTAATAAACAAGTTATATCATGTTTATTTAATTGGTACAGAAACCCAAGATAGAAAGAGACAATTTGTGATTTTATGGATGGTTATGTGTTGGATTGTCTTTGCCGGGTGAAGTGACTTGTGAGTTTTGTGATCACTACAAGCAGAGACTCCAGGAAGTAGAGCGATTTATAGCCTTTATGTTCTATGAAATCCAAAGTATGTTTGAACATTTGAAGTGTCTGAACTGTTCTTTCTTTTCACGCTATGTAACGTTGAAATAGTGATGTCAGGTTTGGTTAGAACAGAGCTATGGAATATTAAATCATCTATCTTTGCTCACTAAATTATTATTGGGTATTTTGTTGGTAACGGCCATGAGAGGCAAGATATTATCGGTTATCGTATCAGCTCAAGAATAATCCTATCCGGAATGTAACATGCAGTTTTTTTCTAGCAGCAGGTTAACTTAAAGCCCCCAGATAGAACTTTAATTTTTTTGTTGATTCTGGGAAATCAGACAAAATTTGACTCAGCAGGCATTAAGATATAATATACAGGCTATACAGGCGCTTATGTAGGTCATATAGAGGAATCAGTATAAATTTGAGACTGGTTTAAAGGTCCTTGGAGTATGTTTTAGGTTAGCATAATGACAGAAACAGACGGTTTTAAACTGGCAAGGGTCAGTTTTAAGAGGTACTGTACTTTCAAAAGGGAGCCATACAGCTTTGATCAAAAAAACACATCTAGACTAGATACATGAAACTAAAAATATCCTGAACTAAAAAGAATATAAAAATACATCAAGTTTCACTTCATGTTCAGAAAAACATCCATCTTTGAACTAGTGATTAATAACCAGTGTCTTGACTTCCTCAAATTAATGTCACTCAATGCTGTTTCTTCCATCAGTTGTCACTTCCTCCTGACGCATTACCTCTGCCTTTATTTGTTCACTGTATATTTTCAGTCTAAACTCCGCTGTGAAATGATGCCAAAATTAGCGCTTGTATCATCTGCTCCTTATATAAACACACAGCAGCTGCCAACTACTATTGTGGATGAGCCCCAGAAATACCCAAAATGTAGCACAAGCCCTTTTGGGCCCCTCAGAATTAGTTCAATATGGTTTTATTTCCAAAATGTATATCCGGGTAAGTTACTTCATTCTTACGATGACAACATTTTTTGACAGAGAATGTCAGACGATAATCAGAATACAGCCAGGAACCAGGAAGTTTCAGTTTCTTTATTTTTTGGTATTTTATTATCTTAATAAAATTGTCATACTATTAAATATTAGATGTGTTAATTACTCCTTGTCCCCTAAAAATCACTTTAGTCCTGGGTAAGTTTGTACATTTTTCTGTTGCTGTCAGTCACAGTTTAAAAACTGCACCCACTCTGAAAATAGATGATGCAGCCAATAGGTGCTAGCACAAAATGTAGGGAAACGTCTGGCCAGGAAGATAGGGAAAGTGACAAAATGATATACATTTTGTTATATATTGGTTGCACTTACAGCAGCAGGGATGGGGCAATTTGCTATCAGAACATAAGAAAAGATGATAGGGAAGCATAATACTTATTACTGACATGCTGAGTGTCTTTTTCTAAAGAAGCATTATTGATTCCCTGCTGACAAAAAAGTATACGAAAGACACTTCAAAACCCACTGGTGTGAATCACAATGTGAAAGATGAGCCCACTGCTTAGACTGCAAGATGTTTTAGCTGGGAGGTAAGTTGACAACATATTGATCAGAGCAACAGGTTATCTACAGTGCATTTTCATGCGCACATACACATACACACGCACACATGCACAACACATGCAGGCAGGCAAAGTATGTTTCATAAAACCACAATTACAACCACATAAACTGAGCTAGAGTATATCAGTCAGCGCTGTAAATGCTAGGCAGTCAGTGGACGGACCTGGCGGTGGGCTAGCAAATCAATTGATTGTAGCTCACACCCTCATGCACACAAACACACACACACACACACACACTCCAGCCACATAAAAGAAAGAAAAAATAAAAACTGAGTTTTTATTGGATGCCCAGAAACGGTCGGTGATCAAACTCCAACAGCCAAAAGAGCCACAGTGATTTAGTGGAGCGAAAATCCATTATGGCTCCATCCAAAGGTAATGACTTCTTCAGGCCTTCCAGCTGATTCTCCAGAACAAGAGTGGGAGGGAATAACACACACACACACACACACACACACACACACACACACACACACACACACACACACACACACACACCTTGGACAAATCAGGCCTTTGTACTGAACAGCGTGAGGTCCTGAAAGAGTCCACAGTGACATCACCTCTCTTTAAGTCTCTTATACCTTCAATCACTCACAGTGACAGTGAAGACAGCAGCATTTCTATTTAAACTGAACTGGTACCACCTGATAGAAAATGAGAGGAGGAACCACGGTGGCGTTAATATTGATGCCTTTTATTTGTTAATCATTACATAGAGACATAAGGCTAAGCATAATGGCAACAATAAGTTAAACAGGGCAGTGCATTTTCATTATGCAAAATGCTGCAGTACATACTCCACATAACACTGACTTAAATGTAAAAACTGGAAGAAAAGGCTAAAATTATCAGCAGCAGTATGGCTCAACCTGGTGATTTGCTCAACTTTCAATATGCTTCTTTTCCTGCACTATTACAGTAATTTATAGAACAATTTGTTACCTTGAACAAGTCTGCTATGCTAAAATTACAAATCTGAGCCGAGACAAATGTATAAGAAATGCTTTCCAGTCTCTTGACAGAAAAGTGGGCAAAGCGGGAAATCTTAACATATTGTATGAAGCAGTGAGTAAGGTATGAAGCAGTGAGCAAGGTAGCCCTGCAATGCCCTACAATGTCCAAAAGGGCTCTGGACCTTGCCATCAAGGAGATAAATTACGCTCTTCATCGCTCCTGCTTGGAGAGTACTGAAACTGCATTTGAAGCACCCTTTTGCAAAGAGTTGAAATAACTCCCACAGTAACACTGAGTGCTCTGAGCATTAAAACATGCGAAGCTCTCGATGCTGCCAGCAATATTTATTTGATGGCAAGCGTAAAAATAAGGTAGTGCGAGTTTAACGTGGTTTTTACATGGTCGTTGGTGGATATTATAAATATCAAACTCTGTATAGGTGTTTCAGATAAAAATGAAAGTTACTGCACGGTAGATGCATCATTAACAAGCAGCTGTGGCAGCCATTAAATCTTATATCTTATATACAAACAAAGGGTCAAACTGCCTTCATGGAGTCCAGGATGTACTGCATGAGATGTCTCATTTGCAACACCTTGCTATTACTATTATTTATTTTTTATATATATATAGAGAATTTGTACCGTTTTCTGTGTAGTTATTTAGCACAGCTTAAATTCATCTGACTTGACTTGACATTACAAACACGCCTGTAAAGCCTCATTAACAGTAGGACTCATCCTTTATTAGAGCCAGCTTTAGGTCAATGCAATAATTGCCACCCCCTAAATAATTACTGCGGAGAGTTCTTTACAGAGGTAAGTAACAAACTCTAATCCTGTAAAGTATCTAATTAAGGGATGGCAGCGGCTAATGCTACTTTGCACCATGCTTTCGGTTTGAAATGAAGAACATGAATGTCTGGAGGTGGCGGCTTGCGGCGTAATGTTATTAGAACATATTTTGATTAAAGAGGAAAAAGGAACAAATGCTAGAAACCGACAGAAACGAACAGACTGGATTTTAAAAAAACAATAAGGAAGAAGAAATGTATATGGAGTGGTAGTTCATAACCTTGAATTCAATGCAGCTTATCGAAAAAAAAGGGACACAGGGACGTGTATTTTGTGAATGATACCCAAGCTGCAGCGCAAAACACCAAACACAAGCAGCCTGCCAACTGATAAGAGCTATAGTTGGGTGGGCAAGCACTTGAACCTGAACCACAGGACCTGAGCTGCTAACATGCTCTTGCCTCTGCTCTGCTCTCTGTTCCTAGATCAGCGCTACAACTGCTTTTGCCTCTTCTTTGATGCCAACGCCAGAGATAAGCAAAACCTGGAGCTGACACAAAATGAAAGCTCAGCATGCACAAAAGCCATATTAATCCTATTGAATTCCTCAGTATGATCGACAGCACCGAGTCCACTAATTAATTCAGGATCCCTTCTGTGATCGCTCCCAATAGCACACACAGTGAATCTATGTGGTGTATGTACAGCGCATAGACCTTGTTTGCATGCCCACTGTCCTTTAGTATTGATGTAGTTGTCTATATTACTGCACGTGTGTGGGTGACTGTAAATGCATGGCCTTCAGGAGGACTCAATTAGCACACAGCAACAAAGCTCTAGCACCCTGCAACAGTCACTAAGACCACTCATTGTCCATTCAAAAGGGAAAAAAGCTTAATTTTTCCAACCGAGTCCTCTTGGGGATGTGACTTAAGTGTAGTAGCGGTCCTGTAAACATGCAGTAAAAAGTAGGACTTCTACAGTAGCTACATTTGTACATTTTCTCGTGAACAAAGGTTTTGACGAGAAGATTAGCTGGGGGAATAGATTCTGCACAATGATGCAACGAGCAGAAAGGCGTAAAACACAGTTAACTGTGCGTATGCCTTTCTGCCTGTCTGCCTGTCTATTTGTGTAGACTTACCTTTCATACCAAATTTGGAGCGCCGGCCGTATTTGTTGATGAGAACAAAAAGGACGAGGAGGAGGACGCAAGCGAAGCCCGCCAAACCCACAGCGATGGAAACCTGAGAGAAATAAAGTGCTGTGTCAGACTCAGGCGGCGATCAGAGCACTGTGTGCATGATAATCCTTTCCATATCTGATCACCTTAGATAGTGCAAATCGCAGTTTAATCCACTAGATTGTGACTACTGCTTTCTCATAGATTACAGCAGTCTGGAGAAAAGTTAGACACCTGTCTTGGCTGTGATGTATTCCAGTTGACAGAATGTAATTTAAATATGATCCTCATCCACTTACACTCTCAGTGCAGTTTCCAAACTGCACTGAGAGTGTAAGCCACAAGCCTGGCTCATCAAAATTATCACTATCACAGCCAGTTATTACTGATTAAATTCTGGATAAGAATAAGTACTATAAATAATGGAAATAATAAAATATAGCTTTTTTCAGTACAGTTTACTTGTTATCATCAAACTTCAAATCAAACTTCAACTTCAACTTCAAATCAAAAAGGAAATAAAGTAACAAATTAAGATAAAAGCGCCATAGACATTTTGACATGTCATAGCAGGAAAAGCTTTGGTTACATACCTAACAATGTAAGCTGGCTAACAAGCTTACTACCAACAGCAGTCACAAAACCTTACTTCCAAGGCTAAGGAGCATTTCATTATCTTTAATTGTGTGTAGGGTCATAGCTGACGTTAAAAAACAAAGCCCTGTTTACAACTTAAAAATGTGTATTATTTTCCCTTCTGTGTGGAAGCTGGTCCTGGTCCTTCTAAGTTTAGGATATCATTAGTTGCTTTGTGCTGCTCTTTATTGGATTTAGGAAGGTTAAACTCCAGCAACCAGAGTGACTTCTCCAGAGATACGTCTAACAAACACATCGATGGTTAGTAGTCATCCTAAAAGCATTTTATAGTAAATTTAAATGGAAAAACTACAACCCTGTCTCTTTATTTATGTGCCCACATGGACCATCAGCTGATAAGGATGCTGACTAGCCTAGCAGCTTTACATAGCCTCTGTCTTTTATTACAACGTCCTATAGCCTTCAAGCACATATTTACCTCTTTTTACAGGATTAAACAAGCAAGCTGAAAACATTAAAAAGTCAGCCACAAGCAGAAGTTTCAACCAATTCATGGAGCTACTGTTGGGTTGATTAGTTAGTTAGCCACAGCTCACAAAGTCTGCACACAAGAGTTGTCATTTTAGCTGGAAAAACTGACGGTGGCGGGATAAAAATGGGACCGCTTGGATTGGCCATAGCAGGAAGAGTTCAGGTGTAATTAATAACACAAAGAATTACTCACTTCCATTTAGGTAATCCAGTAAGCCATGCCAGTGACCCCAGCATGCACATAAGGGAACTGGAACCTTCACACTTCAATGACTGCAGCCATTATTAATGTTATGAATTGTGCTACACCTGTGCTGGCTGCTATGACATGTCAAAAGGTCTGCCATTAAACATGGCCGTGTTAGCATCTCTTTCTGTCTACTGAACTAAAGTGGAGTAACTCACCAGCATTGGTTTCAAAAGACTATACAGAGTCCCCATATTACATAACATTTAAAAACAGCAGCACACACTGCAGGATAGCGTTACCATCATCAACATCATTAGTGTCCAAACATACAACTTTGAAAAATGACTCTAACAGGGTTTTGCTGTAAACACTTTGTGCCTCGGCGCTGCATGTCAACACACAGTACAAACTCCTACAAGGGTCCTTTGACAAATAAGAAGCAGTTTAGATTTGTGCTGAAACACACAGCAGCTCTCAGTTGAGTCCGAGGGCAACATCTTAGGCAGCTGTGTCATAAACATCATTAAGGAGAAACCTCACCCCAAACGTATCTTCTTCTGGTCGGCCTGCACCATCTGACGGCGATGAAGGAACTGCAACACAAAAACACAAAACAGGCTTCAGATTGAGATGGAACCTTTAATGGTTATGGTTAAATCCCACGCTTATTTACAGTAAATATCTAAACAAAGCCAAATGGTTTTGTTAATATTTTGTGATAGATCCCATTGCTAGTTGAAAATACTATTTTATGCTTTCCGGGTTCATGTGCCTCTTGAGAGCTCCTTGTGCATTGTATAAAGTATTGAATAAATGTTAAATCTCTTGACATGGACTAAAACTGCCTTCCTTGGATTGATGTAAACAAGGAGAACCTTGCCTTGCCCCTGTTTTGTGCCATTAAAGGTTGAGACAATGTGAGACTATGTTGATGAACAATGCATTTTTATGTCTAGAGGCTAATAAAAGGCTTTCAGTAGCACGGCAATGAATGCACACACAAGTCGGTCACCTGTCACAAGGCTGATAACAAAGCCTGAAACTTGTTTTTAGCCAAACCCAAAGAGAAAAGACACTGTGGAATTTTCCTAATAATTGCACAAATGCATGCTTGTGCCTATACATACAGCACAGTACACAAAGGCACAGACAAAATAAAACAAGCTGCTTTAGAATTATGCACAAATAGACAAGCAGAAAAAAAGGTCAGACAGCCTAGAGCACCAAATGTTAAATTAGAAAAAAAAAAAAAATCTGTGGAAAAACAACCAAGAACCAACTCAACTTGACATCTTTATGTAAGAAAATCGAACCCAAATTTTCAGACAGATCTGAAGTGTGTGGACTCAAGCGGCAGAGCTCTACAGTCTACAGCACTCATATTAATGTCTCAAAATTATCCTGAAATCCATTTCTTGATGTTACATGTCACACCTTTACAAACAGGAGTTTTGGCAGACAGCTGAGGTCTGGGGAGGGTTAGGGGAAGAGGACAGAGACAGAGCCATGAAACGAAATGAGCTGGTGTCAGGGAAACTCCAGTCTGAGGCCTCCAGCCAGGACATCAGAGAGTAATTGTGGGCAAATTAATGGCCACATGGTAGACTGGCTGCCACTGGCTTAGACACACACAGTACACTAAAGTGCATTGCTCTGTGTGTGTGTGTGTGTGTGTGTGTGTGTGTGTGTGTGTGTGTGTGCTTGCGTGTCCTAACTACCATCCCTCTGTCCCTCCTACCCAGCCTTCATCCCTCTCTCCTCTCCTCCCTCTGCCCTCCTCTCTCCTCAGCAGTATCAGTCAGCCTGTCACTCTTCCTTCTACGCCTGAACTCCCTCACACACCGCCGCTGCTATAATGTTTCACACTCTCATCACCCAAACACCTCTCCCTCACCTGCCTCACTCCCAGGAGCTGTGTAAGTGTGCGTGTATGTGTGGCAACATGAAGTCGTTGCCTGCCTAATGCTGCTCGCCGCACAGTCAGCGTCCATCCGTCTACGTTCCTGGCCATGCTGCGGCTTTATAATCCATGGCTGATTAGAAAGAATGGCCTCATATGGAGATGGAAGAAGACTCTGATGAAGGTCAGAGATCAGACCAGCTTACTTTGTTTAAGCCGTCAACTGTGAGGCTGCCACAACAGCCTGAGGCCAAACCACACATCACACACAGGAGATTTACGAAGCGTCGGGAGAGCGGGCCAAAGCATCGCTACGGCAATACGACTGCACTCACCGCTTCACAACACGCTAACGGGGTGAGAAACTAGCTTGTTTACATTGTGGCTGGTTAGTTAGGGGTTAGGCAAGAGGTGATATGCACACTGAGTTGCTGATACAATTCCCTGGGGTGGAAAAAAAAAAGAAAAACAGTAGAGAGAATAACTATTTCTCCACACATTGAAGGTGTATACATGGAGCTATAATTAAAGCAATATTCCATATGTAACAGTTTGAAGGCAGGTCCTTTTTTAACCTTCAAAACAGAAGAAGTGAAGCATAAGGAATTTATTAAAGAGTGTGTTTAATCCACACTGCTCTAACATAAGCTGAAATCGATAGCATATCAGGCTAACTAGGTGTAGTAGTAGTCCAGCAGTACTTCCAATGCCATAGAGAATTTCACACTACATTATCTCGTGGGGTCAGGTTACATATAAATAAAAGCCCTGTTCATAAGTAGCACATGCACCCTGCAGTATGTTCTTCCCATATGGGAGCTGGTCCTGGAAGCTACTATATCAGTTTAGGATAACGTTAGCAGCTCTGTCTTTCTCTTTATTAGATTTGGGGAATTTTCACTCTAGCAACCCCAGCCACCCCCAACACACTCTTTGACAATAAAAACAATAAAGCCTGAATCAAACCTTGGTGTTTCTTGTCCAAGCATGTAACCTCAGCAGCCAAACAGGGTTATATTAGAATGGAATAACAGTCGGATCCTACATTTTGCCTACCATTGCACATACTATCATACTTGCATGATCGCACAGTGTCATGTTTGTAGGCATCTACAGCATATTTAAGATTAATTCAACCAACTAATATAATATTATTTATGGTTATGTGCTATAAAGAGCAGTCTGCATTATGTGCCTCTGTCTGAAATATAAGACCCATTGCATCAAAAATGAGTAAGAACTAAATGGCTAAATCTGCAATCGTTATCAACAGCTGTAGTAACAAAGGAGAGCATCACTTAGCGAATGCTTGACCAAAGCCCAGATGCTCAAGTAGAGCTGCTTATACCAACCAGCAGAAGTACACTGAGGCTGTACAGGACACCTCTCTGTGAGAGTGTATGGAAATGTATGACGGTAAAGAAGGGCATCACTGAAGCATCGTCTGAAGCATCAAATCTTCAAAAATTAAAAAATAAAGCCGAGAAGTGCCTGCTTTAGAGAACTAAAACTAGCATGGACAGTAACATGACACCAGGATGTACGAGGAATAAAACATGATACAGTGTAACATGGTATAGTGACTCAGCATTAATTCCAACAACCTGAAAAAAAGCAAGTTTTTTAATCCGGTTTAAATCTCGACTGGCTGTGCTGATCCAAGCAGGCAAAGTGAATGAGAAATGCTAACCCCTCTGTCTCTCAACAACCATTGAGATGCCCTTGAGCAGAGCATATAACAGGAACGTAGCATTCAGTGATGTTTTAATAATAATGCTATCAGGGTCCAGAAAATTGAGCAGCAATGCTAAGAGATGTTTATGAACTGCAACACAAAGTGACCAAATTTCTCCATGGTTAAGGAAGTGTCTGTGTGTGTGTGTGTGTGTGTGTGTGTGTGTGTGTGTGTGTGTGTGTGTGTGTGCGCGCGCACGCACAATGACGTCAAACAAACAAATAGTAAAATAGAAAATAATAAATAAAAATAAAAATAGCAGGGTTAAATTGGAAAATAGAAACACTCACCTAGTTCCACTAGGTCTGCAAAAGAGAAGACAGAGAAAGTCACGCTATGTCAATAAATTGACACAAGGTATTAACCTTGGAATATTGACCATGGGGAGAAATTTGCCAGTCTTTGTGGGTTTATTCCCCCCTCCCTGTGAACTCGGGATGAACTGCAAGCGAACAATCTACCTGACTGAACTGTGGATGAACCCTGGCTGTGATCCAGCCAGCAGGGATCAACTGCCCAACTTGCACCCTGTGAAGGGAGATGTTTAATAAAAGCTAAAAGCTCCCAATAGTAGCTCAACCTAGAACGGAAGCTGTAATTTATACAACAGGTAGTTTAAACAAGAAATTAGAACTAGACGAAGAGTTGCTCCAATCATTCCCAAAAAGTGGGCCATGCATGCTCTTCGGGGAGTTTCTTGGCAGTATTTCTTTTGCTCCTGTGCTTTTATTCTTATTTAAATCCAGAGGAATGTAGGCGATATTCAGGCAGTAAAAATGTGTTCATAACCCTTGTATAAATGCCATTTTACCCATGAGTATACTCTCAATAGTAATTATGAGGACATCAACGCTGCCAGCTGCCAACAGTGCATCACTCATCAACCACAAGCACGGAGAGGAATAGCTACCAAGAAGCAGCGAACCACTCACCGTCGTCGTCATCTAGGATGTCGAGGAAGTGACCATACACTGTCTTGGTGACTGTTCCCAGAGGGTTGCTGGCCTCCAGAGTGTAGTTGCCGTTGTTTATGTGTGTTGGGTTCTGGAAGGTCAGACAGCCCTCCAGATAGTCCTGGTAGAAGTCCATCTCAGTTCGGATGTACTCGTTCAGGATAATCTCCTTTTGCTTGTGGAACCAGCGCAGCTTGGGATGGGGGTAACCGCGGACCGTGAACTCGATGCAGGTATCATGGCGCTGCTCAGGCTCAGCCAGTCTCAGGATGACTGGAGGAACTGCAGGAAAGAAGAAAGAAAGCATGGAATTTACATGACAGATTCTAGGCATACTCTCCATCCGTAGAGGAAAGAGCAGAATGAGCAGTTCCTGGATCACTCAAAAGTTCTCTTTTCTGTTTTGAAACCCTCATCGGTTTTCCTGATTGCTTTCTGATTCCTTTTGAGCAATAACTTGAGCATTATTAAGACCTTTATGTGTTGAGAAAGTTCCACAACCCTTGGGCTGATGAAAACATGTCCCAATTCTTTGGAAATAAAATAATAATGCAGCAGCAGACTAAACACAAAGCAGTTTTGATTTGTTGTGGAAAACATGACATTTTGAAGGCAGGTTTTTTGCCTGGTAGTGGCAATGAGCCTTTTACCGTGTGTTACATATAGAGGGACTCCTCTTTCTTGAAACAGACAGAGGAATCTCCTCTACATAAACAAGCACATAGCCTCCTCCTCTGACATGCAGCAACACACCTCTGATCCACAGCACCGCCAAGCTGAGAGGCAATTTATCAATTTAATACCATCAGATACATTTCATAAACAATTCATCCACTGATTTGTCTTTGCGATGAGTCACTCTTGCAGCTACATCATCAAAAGGAAATATTTGGCAGACGGCATTACCTGGCAGTCTCTCTCTGTGTCTGTTCTACATACCAGCCCCCACCAAACTCACACTCACACACACACATACACTCATAATACACCACTGCTTTGTCTCTAGCTGGGTCTCAACAAAGTCTGCATTTCTATAATCATGTGCGAGCAACCCTATTAATATAGCTAGAGAACGGTTGCATGTGTGTATTTATGTTTTCATTCAACCAACCCTGCAGTTTCATGCAATGTGCTATTAAATAGTAACATGTTTTCTGATTATAATTTTAATCATGAAATAGGGTTGAGGTTAGTTAAGGCATGTATTCATTAAAAATACCAAATATTCACTGATTATTGGCACCAAATAGAGGATTTGCATAGCTGGATTAACCTGTTTGGAGGACCCAGAGCAAAATGTTGTTGTTGGGTCCCGATTATTGACTCCCCCACACCTACGGTATGACCCTCTGTGCATTGTGTATATACCTTCCCAAGCCTCCAAGTTCCCATTACTGTAAGAACAGTACACAAAACAGACTATATGGCAGCTTCATTTTTTGCCCAGACAGCTAACCAATAATGCAACTTGGGCTTAGCTTTTCTGTGTCTCAATTTGTTTGAGGTATTTTGATTATTGCCAACTTCATTTTGGGAAAAAAAAGCACAATGCGAGCCACGCTAATTGTAAACACTACACTTGTGCATCATTCATAGGTGATAAATTGATTATAATTGATTTTTTACATAAACTGAGGATAAAAGTAGCTGTTAATTACAGCTCTAGTTTTTATAACTGTTGTTGATTGTGCACCATGGATACCTCATGTTTTCAAACCAAATAATTCTCCAGTAAAAAAAAAAAAGGAACAAAGTATTTATTAGTGTTTGAAAGCTGTCATTTCATAAATTGCTTTTGTGATATTGTTCCTGCTAGACAATAGTGACAATAAAGTTATTCAACTGAACTAAATGCTAAGGCATGTGTATGTGTGAACGTGTTGGTGTGGGGGAGTGTGTAGAGCTTTGATTTATGAGCACAGGAAGAAAGAGAAAAGAAAGAGAGAGGAGGGAGGAAGATGGGCGGTATACAGCCGTGCCACCTAAAGACAGAGAGTGGAAAAGCAAAATTCTCTTGTTGATGGACAGTTAGGGGACGATCCATTTTCCCCTCAGCGTGGCTGTCAGCCCAGTCTCAGTCAATACAATACAAATCAGTGCGGCGCTCCATACTGGTCTACAACAACATGGTGTCCTTGTGGCGCTAATACAGATGACAAGCTTTGATAAATACATGCCTTTGATCAGTGAGAACACTGAATACAAGGCTAGTTTTGCAATGTTATCTAGTGGTAACAGTGGTGGCATATTTCAAATGTCATGTTCCAGCCAGACTACAGATAGGACGTCATGGCTGGCGGTGACAGGGGAGGCAACAGTTTCATGGGGCAGACATTGTCACATATTCCCTCTGGGATGAGCCACATTGTGATTAAGATTATAACCTGTAAGAAGCAGCATAGTGTTATTATGTAGAGTGTCTGGAGGGATACAATCACCTAATTTCTTCATTAATTACTCATATTAAGAGTTAATGCTTTGCTCTACTTGTAGAGCTACGCAGGGAACAGAACAACTAACCTAAGCATTAGTTAGTGCCTTGTTCTTAATAGAGAGCTACATTGTGCCTATAGGACCTAAGGAAAAAAACATAGTAAGTTATGCGAGTCCACAGTGCTGTAGAGCTGCTATTGTTCCAGACAGCAGCAGGACAATGGGCCTGCAGAATTTGCATTGTGGTTAATTACAGTTTCGCTAAAATAGGGGACTCATCTTTGAATGCAGAGAATGTTACTTGACGGCTGGTAATTTCCCTGTCAATCAGATTACTCCCTAATCAGAGCAGCAGTTTAAGCTATTTTATGACATTTCCAGAGACAAAAGGCTGCACAGGGGAGGAAATGTAATTACCATCAGAGCATGTGGTGAAAAATTAATAAGTTAATTTGCAGCACCAGCAGAGAGTGTCAACAGGAAAAATGCCTGGAGATGTACATCCATTGAGTGTCCGTGTGGAGGAAGCCCTGAAGACTAGATGTTGCAAAGTCAATCTGTCATTCTAGCATGGTCCTTAGCAGCTCTGCTCCAGTAGGGAGTGTTTGAATTGGTGACAAATCTCAGCTGTCCTGTAGCGTGATGCATTGCAAACAGCCACAATAGATTGTGCTCTACAACAGCAAGCTTGCTACAAAGAGAAAAACGTCAAGCACCTTTGATAAATATTGGCTTTGAATATATTCTGTCCAACATCTGCTCCGGGACAATCTACAGGGTAAACCTGTGTAAGAGCTGAGGTATATGCTGTTATTCATGGTCTGGATATTAGAGGAACATTCTGATGGTTACCAAATCATTGCTTTATCATTGCTGAGGGTTGTATTTTTTTTTTCCTTTTTGCTTTCCGCTTAGATCAAGGCTGAGCTTTCATGTGGGCTGGAGGGTATATTCTTGCTAATTGGCTACATCAATTTCACTTGGTTTGTAACTGTGCAACACCTCATTGCATTCTAAATGTACCTGCATAATTTGGCTGTTCTGCTTGATAAAGGAGATTTTTTTTCTGTTGTAAATTATTCTCTTAGAATGTCAGCGTTGTTAATGCAAGATATATTTCAGTCCCCAACACAAGTCCATCAAAGCTGCCATGAAAGACATCTTATGCAAAATAAAAACACAAGTGTTCATGGCTCCAAGTGTTCGTACTGTACCAGCTGCATTCTAAATAAGCGTTTTTGTTTTTTTTTTAATTTACAGTATTGCCTTTTCCCGTTGGCCAGATTTTGCCCGGTTAAATTAAACGTCAGTAGTGACCATTCCTGTTGTGACAGGTTTAAAAAAGGATAATTAACAAGACACGAGACAATACAGTCAATACGTCCCCTGCCTTCCATTCATTGAGCATATGCTGTTTATTAAAAAGCTTCACACTGACATACTGTATTACCACTATTTAAGTTAATATGGCAAACTTGTTAGCAAACAGTTGTTTATTTACACATCAAGTAGACATGGAGCATTATCTTGGCCACATGATGAATGTAAATTCATTCACTCTCATTTCACTGCAGCTGTGTTTTGCTCTTGACTAAGTCATGAAATATTTGTGTTTCTTAAATGTTCACAAGCTAGTTGCTAATGTCGATCGTTTGGTTCAGTCTGTTTTTCGGAGTTTCTTTTGCTGCTACCAGCTGCCTCCTGCCCCTAGAAACAACATTGTTGACAGCAGTGAGAGCGGACCATAACAGTAAAGTTGCAGACCAAGAAAAAAAAACAATGAACTGAAAGATGCTAAATGCTCCATACTGCTGAGGGGAAGGTGCAGAATTGGCTCATAATTATCAGTGGGTTTGTCACTATGAGCGATCCCTTTCAAATAGTCAATTGATCCAAAGTTAACATAAACATATCAGCTAAGGCAGCTTTAAATTTAGGACAGACCAGGATTTTGGTTAAATATTGAAAAAGTCAACACATGCTATCTTGCACTTCAAGTCAGGATTAAACTTTTCAGTATTTAAGACAACAATCTTTCCCTAAGGCCTTAAGTTGGCTAAAATAAACATAAAAATTAATTAAAGTTAATACTGTAGGAGTTACACATTGTAGAGAAAATATGTGAAACATTAAACATTTAACAGAACCGATATAAACATTTCCTCATTAAGTTGATAAAAAGATAATTACATCCCCTGCAAAGGTATTTACAAATGCAAATATGGGCCAAATGAATACATTATTACCTCTGACTGGTGTTCTTCTCTTCTATGGTCAGTCAAATTCAAAGCCAGAAGATCTACCGTCTTTAAGCCTATATAGCCAGCCCAGCTTGTTTCAGCTCTGACCAAATACCGTAGATACAGTAGCTGTAGGACAGTAATTTCTGCCTCACAAAATGATTGAGCAGCAGAAACCTCACAATGAAGCTGTAAAAATCACTGACAGTTAAGACCATTTGTTCCTCAAGTTGTGCTGTCTTATGGTATACTGGATTACAATAATCTTAGCAGCCTGTACCAAACTATGCCAGATTTTACCAAACCATAGTAGTCCCCAGTTGATGGGCTCTAATGTGGATAAGCCACTAGCTCAGTGGTCGGCAACAAGATTTCATTCCAAGCAATCACTACACCAGCAGGGTTCACTGATTAGTGCATCCAACAAAAGAGCAACCTAATTTCACATTTTAGGCATTTGATCCTTATTCAGAGTATCCACTCCAAGAGAGAGCAAATAAGATATAATACACTAGAAACATGACTATTGATGGAGACAATGGAGAGAGATGTAGTGGTGACTGAATTGATAATATTTCAGTTATTGCATGCTTGATGGAGGTGGTTTCGCAGTACAGATGTTCAGACTACATTTAACACTCAGCATTTAAACCTGAGAAAAAAATAATCACACACTTGCATTTTTACACACTTGCTCACGGCATTGCTCTAGGGGAAGAGATACTGGTCAGTTCCTCTAGTGCCATGATGTCGACATATTTGGCATTTAGGGAAGTGTCTTGACAGCTATTGGATGGATTGCTAGAAAAGTTCGTTCAGATATTATTTATATAATTATTTATATTATTATTTCCCTTGAATTGTAATATGTTGGGTGATCCCTTAAGCTTGCTTGCACCATCATCATTGCTAAGCTAATGAAATTCCCAACAGCCTTAGCTGCACTTTTTAATACTAATTAGCAAATATTATGCTAACACACTAAACTAAAATGATGACATGGTAAACATTATACATGCTTAACATCACAATTAGCGTTAGCATTGTTGTTTTTGTTTTTCTTATGCCACTGTGGTGACATGGTAACATTTTCTGCACACACCTCAGGCCAAGCTACTGAAATTTTTAGATGTTCCACTATTCACCTTGATTATATTCAACATAAACTAGATAATAATTAAAACAAATTAGTCGGAACTTGCACATAATACATGGGCGGCATTATGACCTCTGAATCTTAAAGCAATACAGGGAATAATCATTTCAAGGGAATAATAATATCTTATTAATATTAAAAAGGAAGCAACCGCAACCTGTAGTGTAAATGTGAAATGTCATTGGTCATGAGTTACTGCGTCCATTATGGGCTTAAATGTAGCCTCCACCTCTCTCCTGTCCCTTCTGCCTTTCCCTAGATTTAATCGTAGAAAACAGAAATCTAACTCACATTGTACGTTGAGCTGGATGGAAGAGTTGGTCATCCCCACCACATTCTCTGCAATGCAGGTCAGCTGGAAGTTGTTGTCATCTCGGCTGATGTTGAACAGAGTCAGGTTGATAGAGTGGATGTTCGGCCAGTATACATTGGACTAAGGAAAAAGGATGAGAGACGCAGATTTTAGGATTGTGAAGGATGTACACACCATATATAATTAATATTACCAGGGATTAAATGATCTGTAATTACTGAATTGCATTTAAAGTTCATTATGGATTCATTAAATAAAATAGAATAAGGTGAAGTATACACTACCAGTAGTAATTAGTCTCTGTAGCGATCTAGCCTGATCTTACTACTGGCAGGATAGAATTACAGCAAGAATGAAAAGAGTGATATATGCAATTTTTGGCACTAATTGGACTAACTGATTCACAGCTTTTCACCTTTAGGTAGCCAACTACAATGCTTAAGCTTCCCTTCTTGTCCTCAGTTGGCCAGGTTCCCTAAGACTTCACTCATCCTGATGAGCTACAGTATCTGTCTACCCTAAAACATCAGGCCTGAGGCTGGGGTAACTTTCATCTGTAAAGTCACTGCAAGCATTAAAGACACAGATGACAAATGCAGCCACACAGCAATTTCAGAAACTGCTGTTTTCCTCCTCATGCTGTTTATCTCTGCTGTTGTTGTTGCTGTGACGTCCCTGGGGCCTGTCTCAGGGAGCAAGATTAGCAGGTTAGCCAGCTCACTGTGGGTTCAACCGAGGCAACTCAGTCTTACAAAAGTACCTTATTTTGAGCATGGGTAGATCATCATAGTAACCTATACCGAACAGTTACAAGAGCTACAAAACAGCTTAAATCGAGGCTCTGTTCTTCTTATGTGAATAAGTGAGTTGGCTTGATGTGACATACAGCCTGGATATTTCAGTTTGTCAAAGTAGGCTTTGAAATTTATCTAAAGCTGTTGTCACAGCAACATGTCTTACAGCCCAAATCTACAAAAGTCCATGCTAATTCACAGGTGGCTGGATCATGATTGTAGGTTTTTAGGGTTAAGTCACATAAATGAACACATTTTTTGATACAGTGTGATAGAATTATGATTTTAGATTAGATAGAATATGCAGAATAATCAGAAACCACTACGATCTGTTGGTATCACAATTCATTTCATTTTTCAATTAAGAGTTAAATACCTATACATGATGAAGTACAAAATGAAATAAAACAGGTGCATTAAAAAAAAAACCAACCAATTCAAATTTAGTTTTACATAATATGAGCAAAAAGATATATCCTCAACTAAAAGCTTCTGAGCGTTAAATGGTAGTGGTTATATATGGATATGGGTTTTTTAATGGACAGTGCCAATGCTGATATTTAGAGAGCAGGGCTGCCAATGGCCAATATCAAAACAAAGAAAAGTCATGTATAATTATATAATTTGTATAGGAAAATTCAGGTATATGTTTACAGCCGGATACGTGAGAGTTATAGTACAGGGCTTGAAACCAACTTTTTCACCTCCTTCCCAAAAGTCACAGGGGGAGCGCTAACATCGTTCCACAGAAGCCACTCTGACAATGCCCCCTGCAGATGAGTCTGAAGACATTTGTTGTTTTTTGGCCTTGTGAGCACGGACATCGGCCAATGCCAATTGTCTCAAAATGGCAGATAATCGGCAGATTAATCGTCCAACCCGTCTATCACTAATAGATGGTTCAAGTATGACGTTATGATGGAAATTCGTCACACTAAAATGAATATAATGTACTTGCAATTGTTTAGATTTTTATCAGTGGTTTCCAATAGGTTTTGCTTATCACCCCTTACAAATGGCAGTGCAAACAAATCAATCATGTTTCAGATGTCTGAGTTCCAAATAGATATTTTTCCCCTTTCATTTCTCAGATGGTTTCATTTAATTAACTTTCCAAGACCCAAAGAAGTCATATTATCCAATATTTACCCAATAAGTTGGAACTATGAATATAATTTTGGGTAGCAGAACGTCTTCTTCTTTCCTCACCCATTAATCATCTCATCACTCTTCAGATTTAAGTTGTGACCCTTTTTCACAGCAGCCATTTTGACATGAAGCAGTAGGGTAAACACAGGTTTTACGCATTATACTACTTAAGGGACATTCCATTAAGTGTAGCAGAGCCTTTCCAGTGAGCCAACATGCACAATAGCAGCACCCTGACTCTGTTTGACCTAACAGAATGGAAACTTCATTGGTAACACCTGTGTTTTCCCTACTATTTCATGTCAAAATGGCTGCTGTAAAAGACCTATAGTGGCCAGTAATGGAAGAAAAATGAAATTCAAATCATTAAATGGCATTCTGTCATCTTTCAGTGTCACTGAAGCTGTAAAACTATAAAAGCACAATGAATTCACAGCTGTTTGTATGCGTGCGAGTGTGTGTGTCTGACCAGGTGTGTGTTGATGGAGTGCAGGCCGCCGACAGTCCAGTCCACTTCAGGCAACGGCGATCCGGATCCATTGCAGCTCACAGTCACATTGTCACCCTCCATCACCAACACGCTGCTGTGGCTCACACTGATCTCTGGCAAGTCTGACAACACACACATGCAAATACACACACACACATACACACACAGTGTGTGTTCATGTTAATGCGCACCTGTCACTGCCTGTGTCTACATATTTTCACACCAAATCAATTAATCACTTTTCATTAATGTAACAAAATTAGTACAAAGGAGGTAGTGGGACACAAACACACAGACACACACAGACACAGACACACACAGACACACACAGACACAGACACAGACACAGACACACACAGACACACACACACACACACACACACACACTGGATTTCTCAGGGATGAGTCACCACCAGGAGATAATACTGCAGAGTCTACAGCCCCTGTCAGAAGCAACACACAGCTCCTCACATCAGATTCACCCTCTGAACTCTGTCATACCTCCTCCCCATCCCGCCTCCACTCGTCTTCCTGCTCCTCTTCCTCCATTTCACCTTTAACCCTTTCCTCCTTTCTCCTGCTTTTCCTGTCTTCTTCCGTCTGACGTTCTCATTTTTTACCTTCCGCTTGTTTCCTTTTCCCTTGCTCTCCTTTTTACCCTTTCCCTCCTTCCATCTTTCCCCTGCTGCTTCCCTTATTTTTTCCCTCTTCACAGATCACACCCTCCTTCCTCCTTCTCCTCCTCCTTCTCCTCCTCCTCCTCCTCCTCCTCCTCTTACCACAGTTGTGGATGTACATGTTGTGCAGTCGTATCTTGGAGGCTCCGTTCTTGCAGTACAGCTGCTGGGTATGGAGCCCGGCTTCTCCTCTCTGCTGCCACAGCTGGATCCAGCGAATATCACAGCCGCAGTCAAACACCACGCCATCTAGACGCCTTGAAACACAATTAAGAAACAGCATAATCAACAATGACAGTAATACCAGTTCATCCAGCGGGGATGTAACGCAAAGCTACTACCTGTATCTGTTTGTCACAAACATATCTGGGGCCATATTGCATGATTTATGTTTAAAAGCTGGAGGTTGTGTAAATAATGTGGAGGAGGCACAGATGAATGTGAATGCGATGTGAATCTGCCTATGATAAATTGAGAAAGCTACTGACAAACTGCAGGCTTTATCAGCTCATTGGCCACATTTTAAATAATAATTTTATAATCATAAAAAAAAGTGGTAGACGGTCCAGATGAAAAGAGAGTTGGCCTAAAGTACCTACAACAAAAATTGTGAAAGCTGTCAACAAAAATTGCAAATGCTCTCCCGGCTATTTTGCATTTCTGAGTCGGTCCCCAACTAGTGTCAAGTTCTTAAAATGCCAGGCTTCAATATTAAGTCAATAAGACAGACAGACGGTTCTCAGCAAATCCTGCTAACATTATCAGTTTGAATATGTCCCAGTGGTTACAAGGGAGAGTATGAGCATTTTTATCTCTGTTGTCTCTCGTCGCCCAATGTAATCTCGGCATCATTAAAAATTAGGCTTCACCCCTCAATGTATTCCCAAGAAGTAAATAAAGGTTGAATGAATAAATCTTTATGGTTCTGACCTGAGGTTATTAATGCCAAGGTTAGCTTGACAACAGCCCTGGACTGACAGTGTGTTTTCACGTCATTTCACCGAACCAGAGCAGTGTGGAGAGGCAGAGCTGTCTACCCCCAGCATGTTATGTTGATGGTTTGAGGAAGGGGATATACAGTAATTGTTGGACGATTAACTTCTCTATTAGCAACAGCAAGAGAGGAAGCAATAACAATCTTCAGCTGCACGAAAAGGACCATTACTGACAACAGTAGTAAATGAGAAACATTCTTCACAATATCAATGATTATGATATAATTACAAAGTGTCAATAGTAAAAATCAACAATATAATTGAGTGACTCATACAGAACACCCCGGCATATATGACAGATGTTTTATAATAGTTGGATTTATTCCAATTAACAGTCAAGAAGAAAAACAATGAAGGTCTACACTGTGGTATTCAAATGTGAGAAGGTCAAGGGTCAAAGCAGTGTTCAGGCTATCAGTCTCTGGCTGCATTAGCGGCAGGCAGGTATCATTACGCGCCTCTGTGCATACATTTCATTCTCACAGCAGCGTGCACCAGAGTCACATTATTCAGCACTGTACGCCAACCTCTGCATTTTGCATATGTCCAATTTGGAGGCTGTGATTGGCCAATTTTGTCAAGATGAATGCCTGTCCAAATGTCCTTGACAGAGGTCAATAAGATATTGCAGGATGCATGAATAATGTATGCGGTACGTCCACCATGCCATATAAAGTAATGAGAATAGATTTCCTCAGGTGGATCTCGCTTATTATCATGTGCTCACTGGATCTGATACTGTAGTCAGAGCCTTTTCATATTCACTATATGACAGCATACTCACTGAGCTAACACGCTACAAGGAAGGGACACTTGCACATCTACTCTCTTTTTGGGCATATTACACAGGAAAAACAATGACAAATATCTAAATGTGAACAAACTCATTCTGTCCTCGTGTCTTCAACTGCAGACAGATATTTGTGTTTTGATTATAGGACAAAACCATTTTTCTTTTCTGATGAATGTTTCCATATAAGATGAGAAAATAAACCATATGGTACTTTTGAACAGAGGGAATTTAAATGACTAAGACAAAGACAGAGCTGTAGGATAACTTTCCCTATTGCCGATGTACTTTTTGTTGTGAATAAATGCAGCAAAATATAAGGGATCGCACAGACCATTTACGTGACTACTTTTCAGATATTATCTCAGGCAGATCATACTTTAGCATTCCTACAATAGCGCAAGCATATATGGCAATAGGCGGGAATCCACAAACACTGAGGTCATGAGTTGAATCCCACAGCATTTCCTCTTTTAGAAACTAACAAATGCTCATAAATCAACCCAATGAACTAAACTCTAACTATAATAACTGTCTCTGCACTCTATCTCCCCTATTATCAGTACCAGAGTATTTCTTTCCAGGAAACGTTTTGGGAAGTTATTAGTGAATCACTGACACAAAAGTTCAAACATTACCATTTTATTTGCCAACACAAGGGTCTAAATGGTGTTTCAAAAGTCTCTCCACACTATCATTTGGAGTAAATATTGAAATTCTGATGGAGAAACTCCACTCAGTTTGTTGGCCTAGAAGCAGTCAAATTTAAATATAGTGAGTCTAAAAATACTGGAATCAGCCTCATTAATAATCAGTTAGTTTACTTTTTTAAGAATGTCACAACACAAAAGTGACATTAGAAATAAAATATCACACAGTGCCCTGTAACAAAACAACTCTCAAAAAAACAAAATCGAAAATCTCAAATGCATGCATATTCAGCAACATGTTGGACAAACTTTATCTGTGCTATGAAAACTACCCTGTGTGTAGCACAGAAAAGTTGATTCCACAGACAGGTAGCTCTCTACATGCTGCTGCAGAGGAGAATTTCACCATTAAAAGGTTTTCATTTAATGTTGAGCAAGTCAAACCACATGGGATCAAAGCTCACCAGAGCAGGGCAGCCCAGGCTTTCCCCCTTTATACTGTAATTATGTTAATTGTTAATAAGAACCACCACCTCCATACATTACCCACTGTTCCTCTGGGCAGAGCTGATCAGGGCCAGCATGCAGACGTACAGATACAGAAAAAAGCAGGATATTGCACACACAGGAAAACGCACTACCCTGCATTTCAAACGTGTGCCCAGGCTGTGATTTTACAACTCCAGCATCTAAACAAGTCATGAGACAACAAAAGAAAAAAAAAAAACACAGAAAACTGACAGCTGGAAGTTGATAAATGTCTGAAGGAGAGCAGATTAGACTTAGAAAAGAATAAAAGCAAACAGCAGTGTGACCCCAGATACAGAGAGTGAACAGCATGGTGTTTCCTTGAAGCTGGCTAACGATCCACCCCGCTACTCCAGAGGAGAGCTAATGATCACCACCGGAGGCTGTTTTTCTGGGAAATGTACACACAGGTGCTTGTGTGGCTGAGGAGCAGCGGATCACAAGCAACGATAAGCTATATACCGCATTGTTGCTCGCACGCTTTGATCTCAGCTTGAACGCTCCGCTTCCTCTCCTTACACTGTTGTCAGGCATTATTTTAGGTTTTTAAATCCTGTGTGTTTAATAAATCGCCTTATTTGGCACATTTTACCACCGCGCTACTGATGTTGGGTGTGTCTGTAGGTTGTGTTTCCTGTGATGCCTGGCTTTGTGGTAATTCAGCAGAAAGATGTGTAGTTACTGTAGTTGCTCTAAGTGCTCCCCTTGTCACATTGTTAGTCACTTCTACTACAATACCGCATTCCCAGGTTATTTGTGAATCTATCTCTCATTAGTAGTAAGCAAGCTTTATCTACAGGTTTGTTCCTTGTTCAGTGTTTCTGTGTGGCTGTACAGGCTCAATTCTGATCTTTGCTTGTGGCCAAATTGTGTCTCTAAAGCCCAGACAGAATGGTGGATGCACCAGCAACAGTGCCAATTTGTTCATTATGTTTTATTAATAATATTATTTGCAGCTTTCATAACTTTTGGACCTGAATCTCTGCTGTTTGGAGTTTAGCTCATGTTCTTACTTTCATCTAACAGATTTTAGCCTCGCTGTTTACAGACCCCTAGCCAGTGAAAACTAAACAGACCATACCCCCAGGCCTGGGCAGCCTGTGTTGTTGAATTTTCCTTTCCTTTCATTCTTCATTATTCATTAAAAAAAAAAAAAAAAAAGGTTTTTCTAGTTCATTTCAATGCAATTATTGGCGAAATTCAGACATAAATTGTTGAAATAATCAGTTCCAGCAAACCCCTTAAAGAAAATTATTTATGAGAGTTCAAATATGAATGATACTGTATGTATTACAAAACACTGACTTTAGAGTTTACTTTCCCTTTAATTTTCCCGATTTTTTTCCAAAACTGTACAATATAAAATATACATATACAGTGTTTCCTCTAGGATTTTTTTTAGCAGTGGGGGCAGGCCTGTCCGAACAATATATTTGTATTCAAATTTAGATTATATTTTTTATATTAAAGCAGTCAAGGGCATTCAGAGCAGAGTTGCTGAAAATATGTAATCCATATCCAAATAGGAGCCCATTGTAATTTTCACCCCAGTTGATTTGCGAGACATAGGCACAGGTCAAGGTGTTGAAGTTTAACATCCTGCTGGCCTTAGAGAAAAGTTGTAAAGTATACTCAATTTAACAAATAAACGTATATAATAATTAGGGTTGCAAAATTCGGGGAATTTTCAAAGTTGGAAACTTTCCATGGGAATTAAAGGGAATATATGGGACTTAACGGGAATAAAGGGAATTAATGGGAATATATGGGAATAAACTGGATATTTTTAATATTGCTTGTTATAATACTGTTAGTCTATAACAGGGAACTTACATTTAGTTGAAAAAAAACACCCTATATTCGTCAATGACATGCACACACGCAGTAATCTGCATAGGCTACTACATACTGGCCAACATTTGTTTTTTAAAATATGGGAGTTTTGTTTTAGTTTTTTGTTTGGGGGGGTTGAATACATAACCCATTGCTATTAACCTATTTGGGTTAATTGTATTGTATGCATATAACCATAACCATAGCCATAGTAAATCATAATATGTTAAGCTGAAGGTCAATGGTTTGGGCTACTACTTATGGTGCTATCCATTTGTCTCGTAAATCCCCCGCCCGAGTTGCTCTGACGTGAGAACGTGACGTAATTGCCTGGCTTGTACCACTTTTGGTACGTTCCGTTTGTCTTTGGGCATTACGAATCGGAAAGAAGTACAGCAGCTGTCTTGTTATTGCTTGTCATCTAAACAAGCTCAATGTGAAATAATAATGTTTTTCTACAG